ATATAATCTCTTTCATAAGATTATCAAGATCTATCTCAAAACTACCCTAATTGAAAGACTATTACACAACTTCAATCCTTAGGTAGCTAAAAGCTTTCTTCTAATTTCCCATCCAAATTTATTCATAACCAACTTAGACAATTTGATCCTGTGTGGATGCTATCTTTTGACTTAGTTTTTCTGCCATCTTGCTATTTAGTCCTAGCTGTGTGTAAAAAGACCTGCTGTAACTTGTCCCTTCATTTGTACAACTGGCCAGAGCTAAACAAATTATTGTCTTTAACCTCACTTCATACAACAGATGGTCCTTTTGTGTAACCACATCTCTAGCCCTCCTACAGTTGTAATTTAACATGTGCTTGACTGGGGTGTCCACAGCTATGCAAAATCCCAATGGGCTACTCCATGTGCAGCAGAACGCTCTTGTACCAATGCTCTGTATGATGATTTGTACAACGATAATATCACACTTCCCTGAATCTCTCATATTATTTTCCTTTGATATCCAGGGATGTCATCACTCTCCTTCACAGCTGCATCTCACTGCTTGCTTGCAGGTATCTCCTGAGCAGCCAGTGCATCTACATCTACATCTCTCCCTTCTGTCACTGACAGTTGACGAGCTCCTGCTTCACACTGGAAATTCTTGTTACGGGTCTCCACGCTTAAAACTTTGCATGACTTTGCATTCAGGACTATTAAATGTCATTTTAATTCTATCACTCCAATCAACAAAGTCATCTAAATTCCTTTCATATGATAATCTGATCCTCCTCCATATTGACAATACCTCCCAACTTTGTGTCATCCCGAACAGCTCCTGGGCACACACCCACAGGTAGAGCAGCTCCATTCAACTGCCTCAAGTCAGGTCCCAGGGGAGCACCAGCACTAATCTCTCTCCATCCAGATGACTTTCTTTGAATACCTCGCTCCATTCAGACAAATTTTACTTGCATGCAACTGTTGTATCTTTTCCTTAGCCAGCTCCTTTTTCACCTATCAATTCTTGTATTGAACCACCATCTTCATTTTAAGCAATAATCTCCTGTGGGGCATGGTAACAAATGCTTGGCTTTAGCTAAATTACATTTTGGCCTTACCCCACCTAAATAATCTATTATACAAAAAAATTGTTAGATTAGTCTAGCACAATCCACTTTTGATAAAATCTTGCAATAACTTAGCCTGCTTCCTCATTATTTCCATGTCTAATTATTCTTTCCTACAAAATACGTCATAAGACACTGTGTACTACTGCATTCAAACCAGCAGGCCTGTAGTTCCCTGCATTACTTTTTTATTTTTTGACTGTATAGGGACTCCTTGTACAGGACACAAATGCTTCCCCTCTTCTGCTGCTGAAGAGCCATGGGAGAGCCTTTCTGCAAAGCCATGTAAGCCTTGTGCCACTGCTTTTAGTATTCCAGGACTGGGATTATTGGCACATTGTTTGCCTCAGTAAGGTATTTAAGTTTTGTTTGTTTTCTTTGTTTTGTTTTTTTCTTTTCTTTTTTTCCTTTTTTTTTTTTTTAAACATTGCTATGAATAGCTTTCAGTCTCCTGCAGATTTGTTAGTAATTACACTCCGTTCCAGATTCTACAGAAGGTTCTGCTTTCATGAGAAAGTTGTGTCATTATTTAGAGACATCAGTTCTCCTTTCAGTGTGGGCATGGCTAATTTCAGTTCTGTGTGCACTGATTAAGTGCAGGTTTTGGTTGAACCCAAAAGAATTCATTTGAATGAAAATAAGAATGTACTTATGCAAGGTCACATCAGGTTAATCAAATCACTTTAAAAACAGACTTAAACTAAATTGGTGCAATCTCTCCATGTAGACAAGGCCAAAGACAACAATGGAATATGAAGTAGGTCAAAGTCTCTCATTAATTGTACGCACCTCTGTGGTTTGACTGAATCTGGTGCTTCTGGAGCCAAGCAGATGTGGAGCCAGCAAGCCCAGCTGTGTACAGAGTGCTTGTGGAGGCCTTGCCACCACTTCAACCTCATGTAAAACCAGGACTCATGTGAGACCAGAGTAATAATAAAGAGCCTTTTGCAGGGCTTCTGCACAGGGGCACCGTTGTTTGGCACACAGGCCACCGGACAAGAAGTTGAGACGTGCTACACAGTTCTGCGTGCACAAAAAGTATTAGAGAAATAAAGGAAAAAGAAATGGCCTCAGCCTGGGCAGCAGAATGGGACAGACAGGGCAGAGCTGCAGCCAGGCGAGCCCCGCCGGCACCAACGGGCACAGAGTCACTATTGCAGCGCGACAACGTGGGGCACCTCGAGCAGAATATGGCCCTAAGGTGAACAAAGATGCGTGTGAAAGAAGGGTGTCATCCAGGTTGTAGCAAATAAATACAGTTTTTGTACCTGCCTGACTTCCTTAATAGAGATTTGGAACTGAAATGATACAGAGGCGTACCATTTTAATGATACCAGCAAGGACTGATCCATACTATCCGGGGTTTTATAGGTTTTACTGTTTTGGTTAAAGCTGTATTATTCCACTAGAATCCATAACTGTTTCAGCACAAACCTGGATTCAGCTGTTTTGGAATAGGCACACAGTTTGTTCCCCCAGTCTTGAAGGAATGAGCTATGTTGGCATTGAAACGTTTGTATCATTACATGTGAATCTTGGGAGGTTGTGTAATTTAGGGTAAAACAATGCAACTTCTGTGCATAGACAAGCCCTAGCTCCAACCTGTAAAGACATCCTACCAATTTTTCGATACTACTAACGCACAGAAGTTGGATTCAACATCAGTATGTCTGAAATGTAATGCTGCTTCCAACACCGTGAGACTTTAATTATGAACTACTCATTTGCTAATTTTAATCTTTAACCTTGAGCTATTTTTGAGTACTCAATGTGTGTCTTAACCAGTGAAATAATTTAATACAGACATAGTCTGAATGACTAAAAAACAGGAACCATTACATATTTACTGCCAAATTTCACTGAAGTTTGTAGTTTATAAAAAAAATTTCAAACCAATTTTATTTTTTCCTCAAAATCAAACAACTCTGATCCACAGTTCCAAAAGAACATAATAAATGAGTGGTAAGCAACCCCTTCTGAAGCCATTTGTATTTTTCTTATTACATCTTCCAGAAAAATTCTAAAGATATAGTAGTAAACATGTTTAGCCCAAAAGATATGAATGCCTCTATTCCACACAAACTTCCACTTTTGGCTTAACTCCTGAGCCTCCTCTCCTCATTAGCACTTGCTGCACTTCTCAGAACTTCATCAGCCAGAGAGCCCTGAGTGCTGTCCTTAAGGCACATCAGTGCACAGGGTGCTCTTCCCTCCGCCACACAGCACTGACACATGAGCTTACTCTGATTAGCACATTACAGGAAAATTATCTTTTTTTTTTTTTTAATACAGTTTCTAGAAAACAAAAAATCTAAATGGATTTTTCTAACTGGGTAACTATTGTGAGGCATTGCAGCCTAGGAAGTTTATAAAAATTACACAAATTCCCAGCCAAAACAGTACATGTTGTAGTATGTCCAGTACAAGGGGTTCACAATGCACACTGCTGAAATCGTCTGCTGCTTCAAACAACATTTGTAGTACCTACGAGACTGTAAAGCCTATGTATCAAAAGCATAAATTTAGAGCTGCCTCTTTAAAGCAAATTCCCATTTCCAGAGCTAGGGATTAGCAAGCAGTGATCCAGCAAAATAAGGACAGGGAGCACAGTCATTCTGCCTAAAAATGAGGTGACTCCTGAGATTCTCCCATGTATACACCAGAACATCTTGTCCCATTACTTAAATCAGCACCGCCGCTTTCACTGCACATGACAAAATAAACTCAAGCTAATAAATAACCCTGCCCTCCCAGGTTATACTGTACCCTCGCAGGCGGGTGAACCATGGGACATTTTAACAGCTTTGATTTCAGGTACATTATCTCCAGGGCTACTCCCCTGCTGAGGAAGACAACTTCATTCAGGGATCAGCACTAGCTGGCACTTAAGTGCCGGTTCTGTCCCCAAAAAGGGACCGCTGTGCTGCACTTCCTCAAAATCCACTTAGGATAGCCCCGGAGCCTCCTGCGTTTGGGGACCGTGGCATTTTACAAAGGACAAGTGCTCTCTAAAGTGCATATGACACCTCATTTATGAATCACGCAGGGCTCAGTTTTGAACTGTGCTTCCAGTGCAAGCTACCCAGAGCAATCATTTTGCAATTTCTGCCTTTAAGGACCAAGGCTTCGAGTTATCATTCACAAATCCACAGCTGAAACGTATAAAGGACTTTCAAAGCCTTCGTAATTCCCTGCTTATAATGTAAACAGTCTGTAAACACAATAACCCTGGTGGGAGGAGTAACTTTTCAACCTGGATTTTAGATGCTATCTTTAGCCACAGGACTCAGTTCGGAGGTTTTTCCCCACCGCGTTTTCAGACAAACGCATTCCCAGAACGACACAAATTTAAGACAGAACGAGAATCGGGCGACCGGGCCCATTTTAGCCTCCAGCAAATCGATCTCCCCCCACCCAAGCCCCCCGCAGCTCTCAGCTGTGCTCAGTCCCGTGGCCGCTCCGGAGCCGGTCCCGTGCCCGGTGCCCGGTGCCCGGTGTCCGGCCGCCGCCGCGCTCCAGCATCCCCCGCCCGGCAGCGGCGGCTGCAGCACGCGGAGCCCCCTCCCCGCCTCAGCTCTACAGTGGGAACCCACCCAGCACTTGCGCCGTCCTGCCGATACACAGATTTCTTTTTTTTCTTTTTTTTTTTGGGGGGGGGGGAGGGATGGGGTGTAAACGGGAAATTAAACCATTTAAGTCGCGGCTGTAAATTTTCCCCTCCAAAACTTAATCGGGACGTCCCGGAGGTGCTGGAGGAGGGCAGGGCGAAGCGCAGCCGGGGCTCTCCCCGGGACACGGCGCGGCCCGGCAGCGAGGGGACCCCCCCCCTCCCGCACCCCGCGAGGGTCCGCGGCTCCCCTGGCCCCCCCGCCGCAGCGCCCTACGTACCGTCTGGGAGGATGCGCGTCCCGGAACCGCTCTCAGTGCCATGCCCGGCCCCGGCGCGGTGCCCCGCCGGCACCAGGGGTTACCGCCCGCCCGGGGCTCCCGCTGCCCGGAGGGGACATGGCATGTGCGGGGTGGGGGGTGGGGGGCGGTGGGCGCGGGCTGCCGGCGAGCTGCGGCGGGACTTGTGAAACTCGCCTATTGCGGCGGCCGGTTGTGTAACGCGGCTCCTCCCGGCGCTGCACAGGCGCGCTCCTCCCCCGCCCCTCACCGCTGCCACCGGCGGCCGCCGGGCCGGCGGCAACGCGCCGAGCGCGAGCCCGGCGGAGCGCGGGGAGGGAGCGCGAGCGCGCGCGTGAGGCGGGAGCGGGAGGAGGGCGGGGCCGGGCGGGGCGGGGCGGGGCGGGGCGGGGCGAGGGCGGCGGGAGCAGCCCGGGGAAAGTGGGTCACCGGCCCCGCCGCGCCCCGACCCGCCCCCCCCCCCCCCCCGAGCAGGCCCCGCAGCCTCCCTGCTCTCCCCACGCGGCGCGGGGCTCCGCTGCCCGGCCCGGCGCGGGCCCTACGCTCAGGGGATTAGTCACCCCGCGCCATGAGTCACTGGCTGAACATTTCCCTCTTCCTTCCTCTTACGACTCTTTTTTTTTTATTATTATTATTATTATTTATTTTATTTTTTTCATTACCGTGATTATTTTCCCTCCTCCCCAGGGACAGCAGGTCGCTCCTTCCCCGCTCCCCGCCACAACCGCCGTGCCCAGCCCCGGGCGAGGACCGGAGCCGGTGGCGGGGGGGCAGCGGGTCCCGCCGCTCCGCGGAGCCGGGGGTGGGGCCGCTTTTCACTGGTTCCATTCGGTAATGCTGATTGCCGGGGATGTGATTTACACCTCTCCTGGGGCAGGAAGCAGTAGTTACCAAAAGCTGCGGCACCGAGAGTGGTCTCACAGTGCGCTCTCCCTTACTAACAAGTTAGCAAATGTTTTTGGTATGTATTTTTTTTTTTTTTTTTGGGGGGGGGGGGTTAGGGGAGCTGGTGTTTCCTTCTCCCCCCACCACCCCGCGCCTTCAAGTTCTCTTAGAAAGCTGCTCCCCAACCTATGCAATGCTGGCAGATCTGCTCCCCCTGGGAGCCCATTCCTGCCCAGCAGCCCATTCCCACAGCTGGCATACCTGACCCCTGGCTTTTTTGCCTCAGCCAAAATTCCCGTTCCCCTCTCAGCCCTCGGTCTGCCAGAGGAAGGGGGCAGGGGGGCAGCCCGCCTGCATGGCCCCATCCCCCCCAACGTGCCAGTGGCCCAAAGCACAGCACGGGGGACAAAAGCAGAACCAAAACGGGGACAGTGGACAAAAGGCTTTGCTATGAGTTTTTTAATATAAACCTGATGCCACTGAGGAAAGGGAAGTAACACTGTTATAGCAATAACCCTGAGGAACATCAGCTCTTACTGATGAAGACAAGAGAAAGGGCACCTCTGCACACAGTTAATATTTCTTATTTTCTTTCTTATCAGAGGCAAAGAAAATAGCGTGGTTGTGCTGACTGCCACAAGTAGCAAATCTCATTTTCCCACTGAAAGCGGGTTTTTGAGGCACACAGCCTCATCATGCAAAGCACAGCAACCCTTCCCTCATTCATGTGGGAAAAGTACTTCTTGTCCTCTTCCAGGCAAGGTACAAATAGGTATCAAATGCAGCATTTATCTCCTTTTTGTACTTGTTAAGGTGTGTCTCTGCAGCCTGCAGTGCAGCCCTGTCACCAGTGACGGTCACTGAGAGGATGCCATTGCCCACGTATGTGGGCATGCAGGTTCACATTTACGGAATTAGATCAGGAATAAAGAGAATACTGCACACTGCAGCTGAGGCACTTCAGATGAAGCACTGGCGGGTAGATGCTGTGGGCAGCACAGGCAGGATGTGGCCCCAGCGGGGCTGGGCTGGGGCAGGTTTTCCCTGGAGGCACCAAGTGCCACAGCCATTGCCCCATTGTGCTGGCAGCCAGTCGGGTGTGCTGGCACTGCCCGGCCAGATCTGCACCTCGACACTTCCACAGGCATCCCCGCTATCCCACGAGCCCGACAGGCACAGCAAAGAGCATCAACACTCTCTTCTAATACAGTGAAACACTCAGAAATACCATTTTACACATTAACTGCAATAACACGATTTTCTGACCAGAAATTGTGTTTTATTTGAAGTGTTTCAACCAGCTCCCCTGCAGCCCCTGTCAAGTAGAGACAACAGGCTGGGCCAATGCAGGGGCCACTTCTCCTAAAGCAATGCTGAAAGAGTTTTCATGTCAATGACTTTAATTATCTCATTTAAAAGAACACACTCTCCACTGAGATCTTTCCAAAAGTTAAAAAAGAATTGGGAAACAGGCATTTCTGACACAACAAAATTCACACATTGCTCAGCAAGCTGTGGTGTTGGGCAGCTTTGGCTGTACTCTGCAATGCTTGGCATAGCCTCAGATTTGTTTATATTATTAGTTTTTAACAATGCTGCTTGCAAAGACATGGCAGCAGCAATAAAACCAAGAGAGAACTGGTTTTGGCCAGAAAATAAGAACAGCAAAGAATATATCTATATAGCTATATATATCTTTCTATATATATATCTCTAACTCTATCTAAACCAGCCTGTCCCTGCTGCACTCACTCAGCGGACTGGAGAATCCTGCAGCCTGGTAGGCACCATTAAGGAGTAACATAATTAAACACAGAAACAGAGCGATAGCTTGGACTGTATCTTGCAGGATCACATTCCCATGAGCAATCTTTCATCCGGAGCAAAGGGTTGTCCAAACGAGCCTTTAAGTTACGTGAAAAAACTTCATAGCCAGGCAATGTTTGCATTGCGCCAGGCTAAGTCAAGAACCAGCTCCGGTACAGGATCAGGCTCCTCAGCCTCATCTCACTCCGGAGCATGCCCAGAAAGTCAACAAGATGCTCTCGCTTTACACACAGCAGTAACTGTAACGCTTGGGATTGTGCAAACCAAAAGGAAAGAGAAGAATGGAGACAGCAGAGTAGGAAAACCACCCTTGCCTTGATCTGAAGGGGCTGGTTCTGTGCAGGTTTCGCTGGGACTCTGGGATGCGGAGTTGAAGCAGCGGAGCCCACCCAGTGCCCACCATGGGAGCCAGCGGGTGAGGCTGGTGGCAGCCCCTTCCAGCATTGCCCAAGGCAGGGACACGCTAATTGTGTCGGGGCTATTGCACAACGCTGTTGCCTTGATACTGTGTCATGTAAAGATTTGAAACTGCCTCTTTATTAGTCATCCTCTATTCATTTTAATTGTGCCTGATAAACAGGGACATTTCACCTTTGTGTTCTAGTGTACGCACTTATGCACTTATCTTGCATATTTATATCACCCAAGAGACTTTCAGTCTTTTACCCTAGAGTTAGTAGATGCAGAGAAATGAGTAGGCATTGTCATCACAGCCTGCTCATGTTCTCCTGTGTTTGCTTGCTACATTTTCAGACCTCTGCTCTCCCAGTGTGGAGATCTCCACAGGTCCTTGATCCTGGGGCTGGAAACGTTCAGGCAGAGGCTTAGGTTAATGCATGGGAACCCGTAAGAAGGGATAGGCTGATTGAAACACACACTTAATTTTGTTTCAGGATCAAGTGCTGTAGGTGTGTGCTTAACACCACAGGATTCACTTTGATCTTCCCTGAGGACAGAATTTTATGTGGATTAAATTCTTGCCTCTGAATTATAGTACTGGTTATTTAACAAAATCAAAGTTGGGAGATGAATAAATAATTATTGGATTTAATGTAAAGAATATAGTTGAAGTCTCTGGAATATTTTAATCACATTTACTTGCAACAGAAATATATACTGCCCAAGAGTTTGTCTATGTGAAACTGTCCCTGCAATTCCTTATCTATCTTTATGTTTGTGAATTCTAAAGTTTCACCGAAAACTCCTGGAAATAGCATTGCATTTTCCTTTCTGTGGTATTATGACCTTCTCCTCATCCCAAACACCCCCCTGTGCTTGCAGTGGGGACAAGGAAGTGCATTTTGGCCAGGCACAACTCTGCCACCTGTAAGAGAACTGCAGTCAGGCTTTGCAGTGGCTTCTGCAGCCCCCTGGATCACCCCTGGCACTGCTGCTGCGCTGCGGGAGCTGTGCTTACAGCTCACAGCTCTGGTTCAAGCAACACCCTACAGCTATTGGAGTCCTTCTTCCTCTGGAGATGCATCTGTTCTCTGGGCTTACATAGTTTCACTGTCATTTTCCCCCTTTAAAAAGGCTCAAAAATAGAATTCAGGTTCGCACCAAAATCATGTGATAAGATGGGTAAAATCCCATTCTCATTTAAGTTCAGAAAAAGGAACGGAAACTCCATTAAAGGCAGAGAAAAAACCACATTTATTCCAGTGTCAACAGGATTTCCCTCTTAGCATAAAATCTTGCATCCCTGTGGGCTGGAAGGACCTACTTGCTGTCCTACCCAGCATCTCGGAGCGCCACTTTGAATCTTTATGCAACTGCTGAAAAGGGTTAGGAACATAAATGAGTTAATCACAATTTAGGACAAAATTCCACCTAAGCTTTTGAGAACCAACTGGAATATTTTAATTTTCATCATCCAGCACCTTAATTTGTAGGAAATGGTTTAAGCTGGTTCTTGTGGAGGCAAGATTGGTACCCAAATTTTGTGTGTGTCTAAGGCCCCATATTTCCTTGTGCTAGCGTAATAGCATGGCCAGATCAATGTATTTATCTGAAAAGCTGAGAGGTGCCCAAGTCAGGGATCTGTCCAGGAAAAAGAGTAAAAGAATATTTTTAATGTGGCCGATCATACTTTCAACAATAATTATTATTTTTATAAAGGAAAAAGTGTTCTTTCTTAACTGCGGTAAAATATTCTCTGATAAGTATTCCTGTGAACTGTTATTCTTACTAACTGAAAGAAATGAGGAAAAAGCCTTGCACAAACAAGAACGTGGCTACCTTCACCTGCCTGTATCCTTCCATGAGAGCATACACTGACCCTAAAGCTTTTTAACCACATTTTAGCTTGATCCCATAAAATAATGTACCTCTGAATTAAGTTTCTTTGATGCTGGGTTCATATCTTCTGGATACTGTGCTGAAGACAAATTCAGGCTGCTGCATTTAAATGTGGTTAAGTGGGCACAGGCAATAATCACCTCTGATTAGTATAATCAGCTACTGAGGGGCCTCATGAACAGAGACATAAAATAGAAACTTAATGATAATTATGTTAAAGGCCCAAATCC